TTAGTAAAGATAATAAAATAATTTATGGGAAAATTTAATAAGTAAAACTTTAGACGAGAAAAAAATAACCAAATATTCTAAAAATATGGAAAATTCTACTAAAAATAATTCTAAAAGAGTAATTTTACCTGATTAAAGCAATTCACCCATAAAATATTTTGGTATTAAAAAAGTTTTGACCAATAAAAAAGTTGATAGGAAAGAAATTTATATTAATAATGTTAATTATTTTAATTTATAAAAATACAAAGAATCCTTTAATTAACGAAGTGGAATTTTGCCTAATACTAAAGGAAGGGAAATTTGGAATGGAAGAAAAAAACATATTTAAGGTAAACAAACAATGCATTTATCTTTTTTTGTGGATTAAAATAATGACAATTAATCAAGAAATAATTAAAGTTTATAAAAAAACTATACAGAAAAATATGATAATGGAATGAATGATTTAATTTAATAAAAAAGTATATAAATAAATTTATAATAATAATAGACTAAGAACAATATCGAAAAATTAAAAAATGTAACAATTAATTAAAAATAATAAGAAATTAATAAAATGTAACAAAAAAAGAAATTAACTTAAAAAAATGTTACAAATAAAAATTTTAAAAATTTATTTTAAGAAAATAAATAAGTTTGGAAAGATATAAATTCAGAAAAATAATGGAAAAATGAATTATAAATAAAAGAAATATAAAATAATCAAATATTAGTAGATAATAAAATAAAAATAGAAATTATAATAAAAAAATATTGAATATATGTAATTATATGAAAATTTAATAAGTATAAATAATAATAATAATAATAATAATAATAATAATAATAATATTAATAATATTAATAATTATAATAGTAATAGTAATATTTATAATTAAAAAAATAAATGTTATTATAAAACATATTCTAATAAAATTTAAAATCCTTAATAAAATAAATCTATTTTTTAAATAATTTTGCTTATAATTAATACATCAATAATTTAAGATAATACTGATTTTTTTCATATTCATGCATTCAATTATATTTTTATAATATTTTTTTTTTATTTATATTCTTTAAAAATTCTTTTATTAATATTATTTTATTTTATTTAATTTTATCATTTTAAATTTATATAATATATTTAAACTAAATTTATTTATATATTTTTGATAATATTTTATTCAATTTATTTATATTATAAATAATTTGTTTTTTAGAATATGCATATAATAATAGTATAAAAAAATTTAATTTTAATATTTATTATTTATTTTCTTAATTTTATTATATATAATTTTAACGTTTATAATATTAATATATATTTTCATCAGATAATTAATGAAATTTATATTTTTTTTATTTTAAATTTAATTAAATACATATATTTTTATATAATACTTTGATTTATACGTTTAGAGTTTATTTTAAATTTATTTATTATAAGATTTTTTATTAATATTAGTTTTATATTTTTTAATAAATTAATTTTACAAATAATAATATATATAATAATTATAAATTATTATAAAAATTAATTATATATAATAAAATTTTATTTTTATATTAAATAATTATATTAATATATTATTTAATTATATTATTTATAATTATTATTATTTTTTAATAATAAAATGAATTTCATTATTATTTTTCTAATTGAATTTCAAATTATAATTTTTCTATTTTATATATAATAATTACAACGAAATTACAACACGTATATAATAAAAATATATCATTAATTAATTCATATATAATTATTTAAATATATTATAAAATTATATATAAACATATATTTTTAAAAATTTAGATTAATTATTTATAATTAGAAAAAAAAAATGAAATAAATAATAATTATAATTTCGTTAATAACATTATTTAATTGTTTAACTGTTGGTGTTTGGCAAGATTATTATATTAATGAAAATTAAGAAATAAATGATAAGCAAATAAATAACCACATAGTTAATTTAAAAAATCTTTTAAGTGAAAAATAAATGGTATTAAACAAAATAACACGTGTTTCTAGTTTTTAAACAGTTAAACATAGAATATAATTCAATTATACTGATAATAATAATAATTAACAGAAGGGTTAATATATAGGAATGTTTAATGATTATTAAGATCATTCAAAAGGAATAAATGTTTTAGAATTCAGTTTAGATCATTAATCTGAATTGTGATAAAAGAAAAAATTAAAATAAATATATTTGTTATTTTTATTTATATTCATCATAATTATTAAAATAAAAAATTATTTGACTTCATTTTTTATAAAAAATATATTATCATTAAATATAAATATAAATAAATATATATATATATATATATATATATATATAAATAAAAGATTTTTTAATATATATAATAAAATTGAAATCTATGATTTACTTATCAAAATATAACTTCTGTATTTTTAAAACATTAATTCCAAAAAAATAATATAATTAAGTTTATTTAAATTAATCTTAGTAATGTTATTTAGAATAAATAGGCATAATACCAATAAATTCATATTCTAATATATAAGAATAGATAATATAAGCCCCTTTTTTCAGTAAAAAAACATTGTTTAAATTATCAGCAAGTGATTTATTATATAAATGGGTTTAAAATTTCTAAATTTTACTTTCAAGTATGGAAAATAATGACTAGGAATAAATAAATAAGTTATGCGAGTAAAAATTAAGTTTAAAGATATGTGATTTTTTAAATAAAATATAAAATTCAAGGCTTTAATTATAAATATATTAGCCTAATAAGGAAGAATAATAAATATATACAGAATATTAAGATTTCAAGATTATTAAAGGAATGAATATAAAAAGATAAGAAAATTCAATACTTTAAGATTATTCTATAAAAAAAAAAAACGAAAAGATAGTTTATTCTTTAATAAAAAAACATATAAAAAATAATTAATAAGATAATTATGTTTTAAATTAATATAATATATCTTTATAGACTAATTTAAGATTAAACATTGTCTAAAAAGATACTAATGAAATCGTTTATGGAAATTTAGATTAGAAAATTTTTAATATTCATTATTTACAAATTGAAAACGAAAGAAATTATAGAGAATAAACTCAATATTTTTTTACTGATATTGATAATATTTTAGATGGAAATAATCACTATTAAAATTGAACTTTTTTTTATTAAAAAAATATGTATTTTATATCTTTTAGATAGAATTAATATTATTTAATAATAAATATATATTATATGTATAACATATATTATTTTTTATAAATAAACTTATTATATTATGAAAATAAATGTATTATTATATATTTTTATTTATTAACTTTATTTTATTTTCAATTAATATACCTAGTTTTTTATTTATAATTTTAATAATATTAGCTTTTATCCCAAGCTACTTTTTAATAATAATCTTGCTTTAAATTTTCAGGAACCAAAATATCTAGACCTTATCTAACTTAACCTTTTTTATATTTTTTTAAAAAAAACGAATTGATATTAAAAAATATATTTAAAAAGATATATTTACCTGTTAGTATGTTATAACCACAATTATTTCTCTAGTCAAGATTATATGCCCTAGAAAGAGCATTTACTTACTATTTTTCATGTTATTATTTTAATAATTTTCCACTTAAATTATCTTAGTATAAAAAGTTTATAGGATTTTAAGGCAGTCTTTATTTTTTTATATTATTTATTTATCAGAAAAAATAAATATAAAATTGTTTATACCCTCCACCTGTATTTCTAATTCCTGCTTATAATAAAATTGATGAACCTCTTTGGGGTTAATATTATTTTTAGATTTAATATTCCATTTATTAATATCTAAATTAATCTCTTTATAAAGCTTAAATCCTTTTTTATTCTAATAATTATTATTTTTGTAAGTGTAAAATATATTTTCTTTCTTATTCATATTTAGCGAAATCTTTATTAAACCTTTCATTTTCTAAATATTTTTAAATTTTTATAATATATTTATATAAAAACCTGGTAAAAATTAATCGCATGATTAATCAGAATTATATAGAGTATTTTTTACTGTTTATTGTGGTGAAATAAAATCAAAATTTTTATGTCTTGTAAATTATTGTTAAGTTGCTTGTAATTGTTAGGTATCTAAAAAATCTTTGTATTTTCTTTAAAGTGATTTTATTATTATGAACTATCTTAAAAAAAAGATTATTATTATAATTAAGGACTACATTATAAAAGATTTTATTATTAAATTTATAATGATTATTATTATTATTATTATTATTATTATTATTATTATTACTATTATTATTAATTATTTTTTTAAACTTAAATATTTATTTATGGACTTATATCTCTTAATTATTATTCTGGACTGTATTATTAATAATTATTTAATTATTATGATACAGGTATATTCTATATTTTTTAATTATTTTAGTATTATTATTCTTATTTATATTATAATTGCATTTTTTTAATATTTTTTTTTATATTTTTAAGTTTACTAATAATATTTTTTTTTCATATATTATTATTAATTTAATTTTTATAAAAATAATACATACATTTGCCACAATTTTTTTTTTATTAAATATATACAAATCTATATTTTTTTATAATAAAATGAATATATATATTATTTATATTAAATAATATTTTCATATTTTTTTATTATTTAATTCATCATCAAATTCCATTAAAGTTTTTTCATTGTAAACTCTATCTAGTTTGTTTTTTGTAGATTCCCCTTCTAAGTTTTCATCTATATTATCTTATAAATTATCTTCATTATTAAAAACATTACTTTCTAAATATTTTTCAACCTATTTTAATATATCAGTCTATAATTCTAAATCTTCATTTAAAAAAGCATACTTATTAATTTTTGCTTGCTCTTTTTTTTTCATCCAATTATCTACAAAATCCCTTTCTTTTTTATTAAAAGGTATTCTATGGTATATTAATGGATTATCTAAACTAGTAGGTTGATCTAAAATAATTAATAAAAAAAAACATATATATTTTTTATTTATTACTATTTAAGCAAGATAATAATTCAAAATTTTCAACTAAAAGATCTTTTACTAAAAGCCTTTAATCTTCTACTTATGGTTATCTATATGACCATTCCATATATGTTTTATAATATTGTTCTTCGAGCTTTTTTTTATATATATTTTTATTATTAATATTTATTATTATATTTTTTTCTATATTTAACTTTATCACTAGATTTTTCAGCCATGTATTCTTAAACTTCGTATTTTTTTTATTCTTTTTTCATTTTTTCATAATATTAACGAATTTATTAAGGTTTAAGAGGATTAAATATATTCGGAGTTTTCTTTTCAAAATGATTTTTTATATTTTTAATTTAAGGTAATCTTTCAGCTATTTTAGTTGGTTTATAATTTAATTAAAATTTATATATATTTTTTATTTATTACGAAAAAGTTTAGGATTTTATTACAACTAAAGAAATCTAATTCTTTCTTTTTCATTTATCTTATTTTTTTATTATTTATATAAATAATAAAAAAAGTGATATATTATATATTTACCTCATCTTCTAGTTTTTATTTTTCTTTTTCTAAATTCTTTTTTTTTTTAATAAAAAAAAAAAAAAATTAAAAAAGATTATTTAATAAATAAATATAAAAAATTTAAATTTTTATATATTTTTTTTTTATTTACTTAATTAAAATTTTCAATAATTGCATTTTATATTTTATCCATATCCATTTTTTCTGTTAATTCGAATTCTTTTATTTTCATTAAATAATTTTCTTAATGCAATCTTTTCTTTGAAATTAATTCTTAGTATTTTCTAAAAATATTAATAATTAATTTTTTTTTTTTTTAAAAAAATAAATAAATAAATAAATAAATAAAATAAAACTTTTAATTTTCATCATCCTATTCTCCTATTCCTTATTTTTATTTTTATCTTTCTATCTATTTAACTAAATTTTAAGCTCTTTTTATCGCATTCTCTCCTTCTTTTAAAGCCTTATTTTTTAAATATTCGATTTCTAATTATTATTCTTTAGATAAATCTTCCTATTGATTTTATAAATTTACTGGAGCATTTTCTTTATTCTATTATTACTATATATCATTATTTGAAGCTAATTTATTTGTTTATGTTTGTATATCATATATTTCTTCTTCTTCTTTAACATCTTCTAATTATGCTTTAGGAATTTTAGTACTCATATTTAAAAAATATATATATATTTATTTATAAAAAGTTTTTTGTTTATTTGTTTTTTTTTAATAAATAAAATAAAATATTAATTATTTTAAAAAAATATGGGTAATTGTGCAAATAACCCTATATTATGTGAAGGAAGGACCGAAATATTATAAGAAAGTAACCAAAAATATCGCCCTAAAAACCCTGATTCAAAAGAAAATTCTATTTCAAAAGAAAACTTCATTTTAAAAGAAAAATCTACTTCCAAAAAAGAATAAAGCATACAACACTAACCAAAAACAGCCCAAATACCTTCAACATCTAAAAAAAGTTAATTATTAAACCCTTAAGAATCTCAAAAAAAGCATCCTTATAAAGAAATATAATTTAATATGGAAAATCATCATCCAATAGTTTAGGAAATTTTAGACAACTTAGGTCCATTTGAATTTGATTTAAATGAATCGTTTGATGAAAGTTTGATAAAAGGACCTTTATTATTCGAAAATGGGGCTATTTATTATGGAGAAATACTGAATAATTAAAGATGTGGAAAAGGAAAATAAATTTGGAAAGATGGAAGTTTTTATGAAGGATATTGGTAAAATGATACTGCTTTTGGAAAAGGAAGACTTATTCACAGTGATGGGGATATGTATATAGGAGAATGGGTCAATGATAAAGCCTAAGGACATGGTATTTATTTACATAGCGATGGAACGAAATATAGCGGGTAGTGGTTAGAGGATAAATAACATGGGTTTGGTATTGAAAATTGGCCTGATAATACTTAATATGAAGGAATGTATTGTTTAGGAAAAAAACATGGCTAGGGATGTTTTATATGGTATATTTTTTTTGATGGATATTAAAAAATTATATATTTATTATTAGGAATGACGGAAGCTTTTACAAGGGAGAGTTTTTCAATAATATTATTTAAGGCAAAGGGTTATATTAATGGAACAATGGTAGATAATATGAAGGTGAATGGATTAATAATTAAATGGATGGAAAAGGGGTTTTTATTTGGGATGATGGGAGGAAATATGAAGGAGAATTTTCTAATGATAGAAGAGATGGATATGGGATCTTTTATTTTCCAGATGGGAAAATATACAAAGGATAATGGAAAGAAGGAAAATAAAATGGATACGGGGTTTTGTTGTTTTAGGATGGAAGTGAAAATAAAAAAGGAGTTTGGGATATGGGAAAATTTATTGGTTAATAAGATGAATATTGTTAATGAATTAAAAAAATTATTTGGAAATAATTGTAAATAAATATTAATTTGGTTTTTTTTTAAAAAAATTTTCTCTTTATATATTTATTATATATTTTTAAATTTAATTTGTATAATAAAAATTTTAGTAAAAAAATATATTTTTGCTTGTTTGTAATATTTTGTTATATTTAAGTTCTTAAAAATAGATAAGAATAAAAAAATCATTTACCAAAAATAATAACTCATTATTTTGCTTATTTAATTTTTTCAGTTAATTCAGGGACAATCTTAAACAAATCACCAACCAAACCATAATTCGAAATTTTGAAAATGGGAGCTTCCGGATCTTTATTAATAGAAACAATAACTTTAGAATCTTTCATACCTGCTACATGTTAGATAGCACCTGAAATACCTACTGCTAAATATAATTAAGGGGCAACAACCTTTCCTGTTTATCCTACTTATTAATCATTTTAAGCATAGCCAGCATCTACAGCAGCTCTAGAAGCTCCAATAGCAGTTTCTCCAAGTGCATTGGCTAAATCTTCGAGAATCTAAAAATTTTCTTTACTTTTAAGACCTCTTCCACCTGAAACAACAAATTTTGCACTCGATAGTTCAGGTTTATCAGATTATATGACAGAATCTTTAACGTGTTTTACAAAAGTATTTCCAATTGATAAATCTGCTTTTTCAATTTCAAAAGAATTTTTTTTTTCTACAGAAAAAATAGCATCATCAAAACAAGTATATCTAAACGATAAAAATTTAAATTAATTTGTCAATTTAATTGTTTGAATAGCATTTCCTGCATAAATAGGTCTTTGAAAAGTATCTTTAGACTATTAATAGATAAAATATTAATATATATATATATATATATATATATATTTATATATATATATATATATATATATATATATATATATATTATTTACTATTATATTTATTATATCTGTTGCTGGTTAACTATTAAATTTAGAAGCTATTCTTGGTAATATGTCTTTTCCAAATGCTGATGAATCAGTAATTATGTAATTATATTTGTACTTTTCTATAATTTTTTCCGATATTTATTATATTTTATCTGCTAAACTAATTTTTTATTTTTAATAAATAATTTTAATATTATTCATTTTTTTTTATTTTACTTATGTTTTAGAGATTCATGATCTGCTACTATTATTCTATTCAGATAATCTGAGGATATTGTTTCTTAAATATTTTTTATGACTTAATTTAGATTATGTCCAGTTATTAAGATGTGTGTCTTTTTTTATTTTTTTTTTATTATTTTTTTAATCTTAACCATATTTTTTTTTAATGAAATATACTTCTTCTTATAATTTTTTAGCAGCTGATAGTATTTTATATGAACTTTTAGTTAATCTCTATCCATTATGTTCTGCAATAAATAATGTTGAAAAAGAGTTACTAGTTTATTTAAATAATTTTTTATACATAATTACTAAATTTCTATTTTGTTAATATATATATATTTTTCCTTTTTTATTATTTTTTAATTTATTTATTTATCTTTTTTATATGACATTATTGATTGATATTAATTAAATTAATTACGATGATTTTATGTTATTAAATTAAAGAAAACATATAAAAATTTAATAATAAATAGAAATAATAAAAAAAAAAATTAAGAATAATAAAGTAAATTTAAATATTAAAAAAAACTATTTGTATATATTATTTAAAAAACATTAATATTGTTATTATATAAAAAATAAAAAAATAAATATTATATAAGAAAATAAATAATCAAATATATTTAATAAATATTTTCTATAAAATAAAAATTATTTTTAAATTATAAATATAAAAAATATAAAAATATAAAAACAATAATCAACAATAACAAAAAAAACATATTAGTAAAGATAAAAAAAAATATGACAAGAATTTAAAAAAATAATATTTATAATATAAAAAAAAAATTTAAAAATTAAATTTTTTTAAAAAATAACATAAACAAGAAAATTTATATTCTAAAATATATAAAAAAATAAATATAAATTATATATATATATATATATATTATATATATATATATATATATATATATAAAATATTTATATATATTTATATTTTTATTAAATTTATCACTATATTTTTTTTTTTTATATATATTTATATATTTTTTTTTTTTATATATCTTTATATATGCATATTAAAATTCTATAATATATATATGTTGTGTTTTCAATTAAAAAATTTTAAAAAAATATCTTTATATAAAATTTTTATTAATTTTTATAATATTAATATTAACTTATAATTTATTATTTTGTATTTTCATTAATAAGGATCATCTTCAGAAAACTCTTCATCAACCTTTTTAATATTTTTTTTATTTTTTATATAATATTAAATATAATATATATTTTATAAAAGAATGTAATTAAAATTAAATAAAAATATAAATTTAATTAAATATTATAGTTAAAGCAAAATTAGATTTTTTTATAAAAAAATACTATATTTTTATTAGCATTTTAAAATATGTGTTACATAACAGATTAATTTTTTTATATTTTGTCCAAATATTATTTTTTAAATTCAGGATAATGATAAAGTAAGATTTCTTCATAAACCAAATCTTTTTAATTTTAATAAATAAAATTAAAATAAAATACCTTTGTATTATTATCTTGTTAGATTTGAATATTATTCAAACTCAAATTCATAAAACGGCACTTATTCCCTTCTTGGTTCATCTTCAGGTAAATGTAAATCAGATAAGTAAGGATGCTGTAAAGCTTATTCAACTGTAATTCTTTTATTAAAATCAAAAGTTAACATTTTAGAAATTAAATCTATAGCATCAGCAGGAGCCTTACTAAAAACTTTATCTAGAGGTCTTGCTGGTCTTTATGGTAATTCTTTTATAAACTTTCTATATTCTTCATATGGTATCATATTTATTTCAATCTCACTTGGAGTTCCTATTAAATCGAAAATTCTTAATAATTAATCTGATGAGGATGAACCAGGAAGTAAAGGTTTTCTTTTTAATAATTCAGCAAAAATAATACCTACAGACCATAAATCCACTATTTTATTTTATTTAAAAAAAAAAAAATTGTTTAAAATAAAAATAAAAAAAACTTGCTGCTGTATAATCTGTCCAAGAAAGTAATAATTCAGGAGGTCTATACCATCTAGTAGTTACATAATCTGTTAAATCATTTGCTTTCATATCTGGAACGGCTCTAGCTAAACCAAAATCGCAAATTTTTAAATCACAATTTGAATTTACTAATAAATTTCTTGGTTTCTATTTTATTTTTGTTATTATATTTTTATATTGTTTTTATTTTTTACTAAATCTCTATGTATAACATTAGCAGAATGAATATATTTTAAACCACGAAGTATTTAATATACAAAAAATTTACAATGATCTAATGAAAGTTATTGATCGGATTTTATAATTTATTATAGATCGGTTTCCATTAATTCTGAAACACAATATCTATTTTTTTTTTATTTTATTTTATATAATAATAATAATAAAAACTAAATATTTTTTTAAATATTATGATTTAATATATTGTATTTTTTTTTTAAAAAAAAAAAAAGTCATTAATTATTATTTTGATATCTTATTTTTATTATAAAAAAATACATGTCATTAAATTCTTCTCTAGATTTTGGAAGTAATATACTTTCTAAACCTATAACCTTTTTTTTTTGTTAAAAAAATAAAAATAAAAACATTTTATTTTAATAGAAGAAAAAAAAAAAAAAAAAAAAAATATTTTTTAGAACATTT